TACTGTTGTGGGTTTCTTTCATTTTCTTGTCTGAATGGGCTGGAGATTCATTTCTTCTTGACACCTAACCTGAAAACACTTTGATTTTGACAATTCAACCCAGAATTAGCATTACAGCACATTAAAATGACACGACACAGAAATTAGTCTGAACTGAAATTGAAGGACCAATTTTGCAGATAATACCCAACGTGTCAGCAACCAGCAAGCTACATCAGATCAAACACTTGTACCAAACAACTGCAGAAAAACAATGTCTTACGACCACAATTCAGACTCTTACAGTTACTTATTCAACTAACTTTATTCTCCAGAAATTCGAAAACGGTCCCGAATTCCCTCCACATAAACACGACACGAAAAACACACACACACACATACACACACACACACACATACACATTTAAGTTTTAACACTTCAAATTATTCAGGAACCAGCTAAAAACCACCCCCCAAGAGCTCACATTTCTTCTTCACACATCTTTCCCCCTGATCACGTTCGAGGCCTTCTCGTTCTTCAAGATCTTATGGAAAAGAGTGGCCCGATCCTCCTCCACGATCTCCCTCAGAAGCTCGTCCTCGATTTTCGGCGCCTGCCAATGAGAAGGATCCTCTACGAGCTCGTCGCTGAAAATCATATCCGAGACCCACTCCTTCCACGTGGTCCTGATATGCTTCTCCTCCTCCAGAGTCCCGTTCGCCAGCAGCTGGTACACATAAACAACTTTATTCTGACCGGGCCTAAAGGCCCGTGCAATGGCCTGCTTGCTCTTAGACGGGTTCCACTCAGAGTCGAGCAGGATGACTCGTGAAGCAGCCGTAAGGCTAATTCCCTCAGCACATGCCGTGATCGAAGCCAGCATCACCTTAGAAGGCCCTGCTGGCTCCTCAAACTTGTCCATAACTCTGCCACGCTCGAAAAGCTCGATATCCCCTTGGAGCACGAGGACCTCACGGCCCTTGCTCCACCCATAGAACCTCTCGAATATCTGCAGAAACAGGTTTATAGGGGCTATGTTGTGGCAGAATATTAAAACCTTCTCGTTTCGTACGAGGCACCTCGGGATCAGGCTCATCACGAACCGAACCTTTGACCCACATTTCATGTCGAACTTGAACCGCTCGAGATCGTTCAGCTCGTCCGAGCTGAAGTACTGTGCGGAGCAAGCGGTGGTCCGTATCAGCCACGGGTGGATGGCCCCGAGCGTGATCAGCAGCTCGAGCTCCAACGGGAAACCTTTATAGACGGGCCTCTGGTTTTGAAGCTTCACTAGAATATCCATCTGAAGGCTCGTCGATTTCATCATCAACGTGTAGCACTGAAGTCCCGGGAGCTTGTTGTCGTCCGAGTTCCCGCCTTCGTACACGTCGATGAACTTGCTCGTCAGCTTCTTGAGAGTCTTGAGCGCCTGGGCCCGCTCGCCGGCCCCGTTGGAGTCGATCTTCTTGGAGATCTTGTCGATGAGGAGCTTCCGACCCCTGTTCTCTAGGGAGAACTGGGTCTGCCGCTCCTTGTTCCGCTTCTCGTACTTCGGGTCGAGTTCACGGAGGACCTCGTTCACGAATATGGGCCTCGCGAGGCTAAGCGTGTTGAAGTACTCGCCGAAATTGTTCTGGAAAAGAGTTCCGGAGAGAAGGATGCGTAAGCGCGTGTTGACTTTCATGAGCGCCTTTCGTAGTCTCGATTTGGTGCTCCTCGGGTTGTGGCCCTCGTCGAGGATGAGAATCCCGGGGCACTGCTTGAGGAGCTGGGCCATGTACTTGCGATGAGCGTAGTGAGAGTCCTCGCGGGTTAGGGTTAAAAAAGAGGTGTAGCCCATTAGTAGGATGCTCGGTTCAGAGAGCCATCTCTGCATTTTTTCCAAACAGTCGAGCACGTGCATCACGTCCTGGTTGCGAGGTAAGCCGTGGGCTAATTTCTTCATGCGCTGTTTCAACACCTCGCCTTTGTACGTTTGCCCGCCGTGGATTTGGTGCACCGGAATTGAGATCTTCCACTTGAGGATCTCTTTGTACCACGTGTAGAGAGTGGTTTTGGGAGCGAGCACGAGCGGCCTCGAGGCGGGGAAAAGCTTTAGGTAGCTGACGAGGAAGGCGATTATGAGGAGGGTCTTGCCGGCGCCAGGGGAGTGCGAAATTACGCAACCGCCCCACTTCTTTTTCCTTTTCTCCATGCGGGAAGGGATTAACGAGCCGGCGATGTTGCGCCAGAGGAACTCGAAGGCTTTCCTCTGGTGGCTTCGGAGCTTGTCCTTCAGCTCGGGTATGAGAGACCACACTTTCTTCTTCGTGGAGTCGTCGTCGGTTATGGTGGGGCCGGTTGGGGAGGCGGGGATCGGGATCTTGAACTTGTTGAATTCTTGATTTTCGGTCTTCGTGCCGTGCTCGCTTTCTTCGTTTTTGTTTTGTTGCTCCCTGTTCAGAGGCGTGTGTGTGCTCGTCGTGGCCTTGCAGAAGATTGTAAGGAGGAAAATGTTATATGCATATAAACGATAGATTTAAACGAAACGGAAAGGAGAAAGTTATGCAGAATGTATGTGAACTTACAAACGGCGGAAAGATATCCTTTATATCAGTCTGGACAAATCCGCACAGACAGCAAATGGTCCCGATTTCCTCGTCAAGTCTGAAATCGTGCTCGCACTTGGGCTCCTCGCTTTTGCTCGCCGTTGTCTCTTCGGGAGTAAACTGAGCTTGAGACCTCTGTACCAAAATACAGACAATGTAAACAATAGAAAAGGAAAAACAAAAAATAATAATAACTGTATCTATATCTGCAGAGCACTCGTGAGTCGTGACAAAAGCGAACCTCAATATCATCGAGAATGTACCATGAAGCCAAGGCAGCATCCATTTCATTCCACAGCATATCGACTTCCGATAACTCCTCGTCATTATTCGCCGTTTGTTTGGCTTCTGGTTCTGCTTTGTTCGCCTCATTGTTCGACTGGAATTCGTTCCACTGACTAAGCACGGGAGGCTGAACTGGCTCGTTCCTAAGAGTCGCATCAATATTATTCATACACGTCCTAATCAACTCCCTGCACAACTGCGCGGTATGCGACCCCTTTCGGAAGCTTCTCACATCGTAAATGCTCTCCCTCACGTAAAAGCAGTCGCTTTTCAGAGTCGTCGAATGGCTACGGACCCGATGGTATTTCCTGCGCGTGACCTTCGGTCCCCGACGGGTCCCCGCGCTTTCCCCAATGTCCATAAAGTCAAAGTCGAACCTCTTCTTTTTGTGTGATGATGTTGACCAGTTCGTGCTAAAGTACCTCGCCACCAATTCTTGTATCCTGTTTGGGTCGTCTTTCCGGGGCTTGGGCTCCCGAAAATTCTTGCCGAGGAAAAACGAGTCTTTTTCCGAGGAGGGGGAAGGGTTAGTCGGGACAATCGCAAGCTCTTCTTCTTTTTCTCCATCTTTTCTTCCTTTTAGAAGATTTTTCCACTTGCCCGATTTGTTGTATTTCCGTTTAGCTTCCTTGAGCTTCCTCTTGTACGACCTTATCCATTTCTCGACCCCGTCACGACTCTTGAACTCGTTGTCTTCTTCCTGTACGGAAAGCGCGAGCGGCATGTCGTAGTCAAGGTCGTTTTCATCATTATCGTCAGACGAGCTGTCGTCGTATTCGAGCTTGTGTGACTTTCCCTCGCCCAATCGGGTCACCTCGAGCTCGTAATCCGGGAGATTGTCGCACGCCAAATAACGATCGGGTCGCACGATTCGCCGTTTTGACCTTCGCAGCTCGATCAAATCGAACGACGTTGGTTGCCCGTCTTTGTCCCATTCTCCGGAAAGATCGATTTCAGAGACGACAGGTGTCATGACGTCGTTCTCCATTTTGAAACCCAAACCGTAGGCCCGGTCGTTGGGGCCCATTTGAGCCACCTCAGGTTCGTGCTCGGAAATCTCGTAAACGATGCGATTGTTTACCGACCGGATGTTAAACTCGGTTCGTTTGGCGAAGGATGCAACAACGAGCCACGAGAGGTCGGATGAGAACGCTCCGCAGAACAATTTGAAGTTGTGGACGGACGGACAGTCCTCAGAAAAGGCCCAACGATAGTACTCGTTTTCAGACGGCTTTTGTTCGAGCCTTTGGAGAATTGAGATCCGGTCGAGGTTTACTAGGATTGTGTCCTTGCTTATTCTCTTGCTCGTGAGCATGAGGTCGGGGCCTTGGTCGACGTAAAAGCTGACGTAAAACCGACACTCGCATGTGGGGCCGTGGGGTAATTTTCGCTCGATGGATCTTAGTCTTGCATCTAGCCAAACCTACGTCGAGATACGAATTTAATGTATATTCGTTAAAATGCAGGGTAATTAATAATAAGGAAAGAGTTGTGAAAACGTGATTATCGTAGATAATGAAAATGGACTTACGGGCTCGGGATTATTTTCACTGTCTTCGTTTTCAGATTCGTGAGATGTTGAGAGCACACAAACATCGATTTCGGGCCTCAAAAAGTATAAGCAATCGGATGGTGTGGCCTTTCTCGACCTTATACGTATACTAGACATGGGAATGTTCTCATCGGTCACGACCCCATTATTGACAATGTGCGAAGTGATAAATCCAACGTTAACTGTTAGGCGCTCGACAGGTCTCCAAGAGTCGGACCAGAAGGCCTCGAAAGCTGTGCATATATAGAAGACAGAATGAAGCAAAAAATATATAGTATCGGTCTCGACGCGGAAAATGGCTAAAAGTAAGATACATTTATGTGAATCTCGGATCAATAAAAGTACGTAAAATTATTGTATTTGAAAGGTGAAATCGATTTATCACGACTCAAAA